TTTGCTCTTTTACTATGTACCAGTAATTGTTCGATGGACTTTTTAACAATTCATGAAAGGAACCAACATTTTCCTCAGCGGTTTTGCAATGCAAATATGACAAAAGTTTGGGTGAGGTAACTGGCCACAGACCTTACCAAAACCTGATAAGGCCTAAGGTACTCTGGGCTTACTCAGAGTTGATGTGTTCTGGTACCGGTGGCCATGAATGATATAGAAATAAATGCACGATATATGGTCCGGCCAAAAGCACCACCAAAGACCATAGGAACCATTTTGTGGTGCCACTATCATAGCAAAACTAGACTATTGTTCACTATACTTAACTATTGTTACTTTAGTACATACTGCTTAAGTTAACATCGAAACTTTACTCTACAACCGTTTTAGAGGAAATGATACCAGTAATGTAAATTTGTATATAATGTATGAATATACAGCAAATTTTTACTTTTCAAATGAAAAAATATCGTAGGAATAAAAGAACTGAAGAATGTAAAAGGAAATTCATTGCAAAAACATTATTAACGAATAAACTTTAATTTTCTTTAGAAAATAAAAAATGTAAATAACTAGGGTAAACTAAGGTGTTATTCGAAATGCTTATTTGTCTCCAGATATCATTTAATGATCATGGGTGTAATAGCTGACCTTTAACTCATTTATCAATATGGAAAACAACAAAGTTCAGGTTAGGTAATTGGCCGTTTTTCTTCCACTTCATAAAACTGGCAAGTGGTTCTTTAGCTGATCTTTAACCCCTTTAGCTGATCTTTAACCCCTTTAATAATAAACAAAGTTGAAAACAATAACGTTGGGGTTAGCTAACTGGCCCCTTCCTTTCCCCGGGACCCTTCAAAAACCTGAGAAGTTTTTCTCCCTAAGGTCCTTAACCTTTCACTAGTGTTAGTTTGTTCTAGTTGCCAAAGATGGATTCAAAATGAATGCTTGAAATACGTCTCCCACCCTTGGCACCACTTGGTGGTACCACTACAGCCCCATTCTGATAGCGGGAAATGATAGTCCACGGGGCCCTCTACCTTACCCCAGTAATGATTTGAAGCACACTTCAAAGATAAGGGGTATAATAGCCGACCTTTAACCCGTATATTAATACACAAATTGAAAAACAACAAAGTTCAGGTTAGGTAACTGGCCCCTTCCTTTCCCCGGGACCCTTCATAAAATTGGCAAGTGGTTCTCCCTAAGGTCCTTAACATTTCGCTAGTGTTAGTTTGTTCTAGTTGCCAAAGATGGATTCAAAATGAATGCTTGAAATACGTCCCCCACCTTTGGCACCACTTGGTATTCCACTACAGCCCTATTCTGATAACGGAAAATGATAGTCCTAGGTGCCCTCTACCTTGCCCCAGTATTGATTTGAAGCACACTTCAAAGACAAGGGGTATAACAGCCGACCTATAACCAGTACATTTATACACAAAGTGAAAAACAACAAAGTTCAGGTTAGCTAACTGACCCCTTCCTTTCCCCGAGACCCTTCATAAAACTGGCAAGTGGTTCTCCCTGAGATCCTTAACCTCTCACTAGTGTTAGTTTGTTCTAGTTGCCAAAGATGGTTTCAAAATGAATGCTTAAACTAGTCCCCCACCCTTGGCACCACTTGGTGGTACAACTACAGCCCCATTCTGATAGCGGGAAATGGTAGTGCTATGGGCCTTCTACTTTGCCCCAGTAATGATTTAAAGCACACTTCAAAAACAAGGGGTATAATAGCCGACCTTTAACCAGTATATTTATACGCAAAGTGAAAATAACCAATTTCAGATTAGCTAACTGGCCCCTTCCTTTCCCGGGACTTTTCATAAAACTGGCAAAGGATTCTCCCTAAGGTCCTTAACCTTTCACTAGTGTTGATTTGTTTTAATAGCCAAAGATGGTTTCAAAATGAATGCTTGAAATACGTCCCCCGCCCTTGGCACCACTTGGTGGTACAACTACAGCCCCATTCTGAAAGCGGGAAATGACAGTGCTAGGGACCCTCTACCTTGCCCCAGTAATGATTTGAAGCACACTTCAAACATAAGGGGTATAATAGCTGACCTTTAATCCCTTTAATAATAAACAAAGTTGAAAACAACAAAGTTTGGGTTAGCTTACTGGCCCCTTCCTTTCCCTGGGACCCTTCAAAAACCTGAGAAGTTTTTTCTCCCTAAGGTCCTTAACCTTTCACTAGTGTTAGTTTGCTCTAGTTGCCAAAGATGGTTTCAAAATGAATGCTTGAAATACGCCCCCCTCGCTTGGCACCACTTGGTGGTACCACAACAGCCCCATTCTTTTAGCGAGAAATGATAGTCTTAGGGGCCCTCTACCTTGCCCCAGTAATGATTTGAAGCACACTTCAAAGATAAGGAGTATAACAGCTGACCTTTAACCCGTATATCAATAGACAAAGTGAAAAAAACAACAAAGTTCAGGTTACCTAACTGGCCTTTTCTAGTCATTGGAACCTGTCAAAAAGTTGACAAGGGATGCTCCCTAAAGCCCTTAACTTTTTACCAGTTTAGTGTTAGTTTGTTCTGGTGGTCAATGATGGTTGAAAAATAAATGCTTGAAATATGTTCCCCACCGTTTGCACCACTTGGTGGTGCCACTACAGCCTCATACCGATTGCGGGAAATGATACTCCTAGAAATCTTGCCACAGTAATGATTTAAATCACACTTCTAAGTATAATAGCTGCTAGAAATATGTAACCCGCCCTTGGCACCACTTGGTGGTACCACTTCAGCCTAATTTTTATGGCCGTATATAATAGCACTGTGGACTCTTTACCTTGTGCCAGTAATTATTCGAAGCACACTTTAAGGATAATAACTAAAAATAGATTTAATTACCTTCAAACCATTATCAATGTAAATATTAGGAGTAAGCAAATTTCAGGCTAGCCTTTTGGCACCATTATGTTCCTGAGACCCGTAAAAGAGCTTAAAAAGGATTCTCTCGGAAGTACTTAACCTATTTAAGATGTTGGTTTGTTCTTAGGCGGTCAAAGATGGTGACATTTTCTTTTTTTGTTTGTTTGTTTTGAAACCTCATAATTTCCCTTATGCAGGTGAGCTTAACTGCCTCCAAGTGTTTGAATTGTTAAATAATTAAGTGTTGCATTAATTATCTTATTATTAATTATAAATTGTCGAAAATGAGGTATTAAACAGTATTGCGTCAGAGTACTCTCAGTCCTTTGATGAATTTCCTTATTGGCTGCTAGCTTCTACGGGCTTAGTGGCTGCTGTTATTGGCTGCTAGCTTCAGTCTAGTCTCCGCCACTCTAGAGCAAACGCTCAAACCACTGCGCCACGCGGGCGACGTGGTGGTATTCGAAACTGCGACTCCGAATCGTAGGGGTAGAAACATTCTGATAAAGGTACTATCACTATGAAAATCATGTTCTGACTCAAGCCTGTAGAAAGCAATTTCACTTTTTTCTGGGATGGGGCACAAGCAATCAAAATTTTTTGATATATTTTATTAAGAAAAAAAAATATTAGGGGTGGGGGGGGGGGGGCACGACCGTATAGCTTTCAGCTATATAGTGACTAAGAAGGAATAACTTGTCATTTGTCAAAATCTTTTACCTAGACTCTTCACTTCTAATTGTCAATAACAGAGGTAATATTTTGGAAACTTGTAAACAAATATTGTTGTCTGATAAATAGTAATGAGATCATTGTTTGTTTGTTTTTTTCGGACCTCTTGACCCAACTGAATTTCAGCAAGTATTGTTTTAAAATTCTACTTAAAACTTATCAAAAAAGAAAAAGGATCGAATTTAACATAAAGTATACAAAAACACCTCATACTACATATTTAATACATAATCGACTATTTTCATGCAGATTCCTTCTTTCTCCACACAGATTGTTTAAAAGGAGATAATGAGGAAAGAAGCTGATAGTTTGTGTTGGTTTTTCTTTTTTTATTGAGGGTATATCATTTACATCTGTACATGGTATCCTATAATCAGAGGCTGAATCACTTCTTCAGGATATTTTTTAAGTACTACTCAACAGATATCCACCAAAAAGAGAACTTCTCAGAAGTTCTAGGTGTTTCTCTTATGCCGACTGTTTTTTCATTGAATGATTTTGTTGAGGTTTCTGGAGTTTTGCCCATTGTGAGTGGATTTAGGGTGATTTGGCATGATTATCGCAGGGTTCTCCATGGGCCGTTTAACATGAAGGCCCCGCCACAGTTAAATTCCTTAGCGCCAAAGTAAAAAAAAATCAGCGCCATAGTTCTGCCACAGTAAAATATTAGCGCCACAGTAAAAAAAATTAGCGCTATAGTTCTGCTATAGTAAAATATTGGCGCCACAGCAAGATTGTCTTTGATCAATATTCTTCTACACCTTGCTGGACTTTACCATGAATGAAAAGTTTTCACACTTCCTGTTAATTGCAAATGAAATATTTAATACTGATCATAAAATTACTTAGCTCTACTTGATTGACACCGTGAGGCAAACATCGTACGTGCATCGTATTGATGAAATGTTGAAAAATTAACGATAGTAAATTATGACTCTAAGCTGCTAATTTGTTTTTAATTCACAAGTTTTTGGATACTTCAGTCAACCGAGACCAATAAAATTTACAAATACATAGATGAAAGCTACCAGAATTTCCTCTGTCCTAAATGGGGTTAAACTCTTAAAACTTTTTTTATTACTGGTACTAATATTCAGATTCCATTAGCTTATATCTATTTATAAATACGTTGTTTAAAGCACAAAAAATAACTCTGATAATAATTCTTGAACAATCTGTTTTATAATAATTCTCATTGATCGATCAGGAAGAATTCTATGTGAACAGATAATATGCATTCAGCAAGTCGAGGCTAATAACTAAAAGAAATTGTATGACGTCAGGATTTATATAAAAGGCACAAATTTCTCGGCTCCTAATGCCAATTTAACACAGCCATAATCAGGAGTGTCGTAAGGAATCTGTTTCACTAAATTAAAATCGAAAAACAACAGTCCAAAACAAGGACAAATCAGGATTCACAGATAGTGTGATAACATTTACAGAAAAATGGATTTTATTTAACTTGATCTTCGGTAACGCTTTAGATACTTGAAAGCAGATATTGCTATTTGATAATTGTTGAAGAGATCTTTGTTTTTCGGAAAACAAAAAAGAGAAACTGAATTTCAGATATGCTTGTAAAACTATTTAATAAAGATATCATACTTAATGTGTAAGAAATCACCGCATAAATATTTTCCAAAATAGTCATATTGCTGGTTTCTCCACGCGGAGATTGCTTGAGAGAATTATGAAGAAAGAATCTGCTAGTTTGTGTTTGTTTCTACTGTTGATCAATGGAATGTCGTTAACACCTGTTCACGGTTTTCTATATTCAGACGCTGAATCTCTTCTTCAGGATGTCTTTCAAAACTATTCAACCGATATCCGACCAAAAGAGAACCTATCAGAAGTTCTCGAAGTCTTTATTCAGTCGATAATATTTTCAGTGAACGATTTTGATGAGGTTTCTGGGGTTTTGTCCATTGGAAGTGGATTTATCCTGTTTTGGCATGATTTTCGGTTGACTTGGACACCGAGCAATTATGGTGAAATCAAGGATCTCCCTGTTCCAAAACAGAAACTATGGGTTCCGAATATCTTTTTGATTGACCCAGCCAAAAAGATGGAATCTATTGGGAATGAAGACTTCATAGGTAGAATTTCGTATTCTGGTCTAGTGACATGGGTACCAGGAGATCTGATTCAGACTGTGTGCAACGTCGACATGCATAAATTTCCATTTGACACACAGTCGTGCTCTTTCAAGTTAGTTCTGTGGGGATATTCGCCATTAGAAGCTAGATTAATTCCTTATAACAATATGACATATGTGGATACGACTTATTACTCGTCAAATGCTCAATGGTCGTTGGAAGGAACAGTAATGAAGCGGTCTTCACTAGGAGATTTCGATAACTTAATTGAATGTCAATTCATTTTGAAAAGGAAATCTCTTTTTTTTGTTATAAACATGTTAGTCCCTATTCTTTTATTGTCTTTACTCAACCCTCTTGTGTTTGCCCTACCAGTTGAAAGTGGAGAACGTGTATCTTATGCAATAACAATCTTCTTGTCTTTTGCCGTATTTATGACACTGCTAAGTGATAATATTCCCAAATCTTCTGAGTCAGTGTCTTTGATGTCGTACTTCTTAATCGTTACGATGTCTATGAGCACATTGATATGCATTTTGGCTGTTGTTACAATGCGTCTCCATTTCAAAGATTCCATATTACCAATTTCAAGTAAACATATTTTTATGCTAAATGTTCTGAGACTCCGATGTCTGTGGCGCGTCTGTAGAAAACGCAAGAAGAAGTCTAAAGTCGTCGACAAATCCGCCAATTTGGATGAAGGTTTCGAAAAAAGTAATATGTCTGGTGACAAAAATATGCAAGATATTGAAGAAGAAGAGAAAGTAACTTGGAAAATTTTAGCAGTGGGATATGACAGAGTAATGGCGTACTACTTTTACATCTTTGTTTTCATTCAGTGGTGCCTCCTTGTGTATGCATTAATGTAAAGCACTATTTTCAATAAACGTGAACCCTGATGCCGCAAAATATTATCTTTCATTGAGCTTTGTTTGTCTTTATCTTTGATGAGCAGTTTTACAGTCTAGGCTTATAAATATAGAACTGTATCAAACTCAAACAGGAAAATTCTTACTTTTGGAAGGAAAGGGGGAAGAAATGGTTCTGTCATGCCCTTAGACTTTCCTTTTTTTTTTTGACCTTTATATTTACGTACTTTGCTTGAAAGTGATCACCATTTCACAAAGTTTAAGCATGTGTTGTGGTATTGACTACTAATTCCAGAAAATAAAAGCAGAAGTATGAAAATTTAATTTTGTGCCATTTCCAACCTATTGTTATTGTCACACAGTTGGACTTTACATGTTTAAAACTTGCATGTCAGCGGGGGCATTCCTGTCATTCAGACAAACCTTGTGCTTATTAATACCGGTATATCTTTTTATTTGAAGTGTCTTTGTGGGTAATGTTTCTTGTTACACTGATGCTTTGCATTGAATTTCGACTAAATGTTCTTGACAACACAAAAGGTAGAGTAAAACCGTCTGAATTCATTTCAGAGCAGTGTACCAACAAATGTTAATACGGTCAAATGCTATTCTTTCAAACTTCCTGACTAAAGAAAGGTTTTCATTGCAAATAGCATTTTATGTTAATTTTCTTGTTTTGTTTTCAGTCAAAACATTTAAAATCTTTTAATTTGCCAATTTTTAATTTTTATCAAAGATAAAACCCTAGTTTTTCATTAAAATTAAAAATTGCAATGATAGGTGATTTGAAGTACTGCGTATTATGCTAATTAAGACTTGTAATTAATTCAGATAAGTAGATGGAATTCATAATTATGACTCTGATAAATAATACTACAAGTTCCAGCACCAATTCTTGATTAGCTATTTTGAAAGAAAAAGATGGAAAATTAAAACATGCCTACCTGATCAAATTTGCGATATACTACTTTCTTTTTACTATGGTCACTTATTTTATAGGCATATACTAAATACACCGTATTTTTCGATTCTATCGAAAATAAGCCTTTAAATTATAGTAGACGGATGTCTTGATCTGTGGGTAGTATACACATATAACAATTAAACAGCGTGAAAGCGAGGATGTTTTTCAAGGTATTGAATACACAATTACTGACGTGAAAGATCATAATTGGATGGTGCATGTTTCGATCAATTTCAGTTGTTTAAAATTGCCGGTAATGCACTGGCGAAACTGTATTATCTTATTTTGATTCTATGAAATCGTTAATTACTGTTTTGATTAGAAAGTTGATAGCGTTCAGACTAATTTCTTAGTCAATATATATCTCTTACGTTGGATTGAATTCTGTGTACAATATTTGACGAGAATTACTTTTTGCAACCGAGTGAATTCTCGTTGAAAAACATTTCGTTAAAGAATAAATCTTAACTCAGATTATAGTATTCACAGATTACAATTATAACTATCTTCTATTCTATAATTCTTTTAGAATTTATTAAAATACAGCAATCGAATTTGACTCGATGAATTTTGCATTTTGTTTGGAAATTATCCAAACAGACAAATAAAGAGTTTTTCGTCAATAATAAATTGTAAGTAAAATACGGAGAGTGGATTCAAAACCTGCGATCTATTCTTTCTGATTGAAATGTTTCAATGCTTGCGATAGGTTGGATACATGTATATCGTAACTCGCCTCTCTGACGTGTCATATACATATCGTTTTTAAAGACTTCACTTTTTTCCTTTGCTTTTTCTTAATCCATATTAAGACAAGACAATAATGAAGAATCATTTTCAGACTCTATTACATGTATCTAATATGCTTGTGTTATCAATATCTGTTTGATATGGATGGACGTAGCGTTCAAACTCATTTAACAACTATTCAATCAATATTTACTAATACAATCAATTGCAGTTGTCAATATTCGAGCTTATTAACTCACAAATGGGTATTAACGAATTTAATGAAGAGTTTAATATAGACAGATATTTCGATTTTGAATTTACAGGATAATAATTTGATGGTTTTAAAACTTTTACATAAGAACAGAAAAAGTCTGATGATCACGAGAAAGAAAGAGATAAAAATGAAATGTGGGATTATTGGACTTTGTAATGGCTTTATTTCAAAAAATTGTAGATATCACTCATACACAAATATACGTATATACTTTGAGAATTATTGAAGATTTTGTTCTTAGTTCATGGTATATATTTTAATGAAATGCAAAAAGAGAATAGAATAAATATTATTTAAAGTATAAATATGAATGCATTTTGTTACATACGTTCGCAAATCTTACACAGATTATTAATTTTAAAAAAAAAGTAAATTATATTTCTGGCTCTTTATCAATTTTTTTCTTAAAATCTGTATTTATTTTACCTAGCTTTTTTAAAAGCAATTTTATAATGTCAGAGAAGACTACTCTTACCTTCGATATTTTGATATTTAGTGGTCATTTATATAACACTCTCACATAAGTCGAATAAAATACCAAAAAAAAAAAAAATGAAAAAAGCCGACGCTTTAATTTCATACAAAAACTATCTTTCATTAATAATTATTATATTAACAATAGAAAGTCAGTAAATTTTATGTTTATAAATTCATTAATGTTTGTAGTGTTTGGCACATGTAATGACCCTCTGAAATGAGTCAATAAAATGATGAAATAAAACTTTTGAGTAATCAAAAATGCAGTGCCATTAAGACAATTAGCCTACATTCAAAAGATCTGCAGAGTCCAATGTATATGCAGAGTTTGAGTTTATATCACTATAAATGATGAGTATCCAGATGTTTAATGGGAGATCTCTTAAGGGTATGTGGCATATTTCGCTTCAGTTTCATTGTATGATATTGAAATTGTGATTAAAACCAGAGTCCCTCCAAAATTCTTTGCTATTAGAATTTCGAAGCAAATGAAAAATCTTATTTAAGTCAGATTGATAGAATAGTAAATCCTTTCTTCTTGAACCAATGAAAATAAAAAGCTATTATTATGCTTTATGTTATTTTAAGTGTTTAGTTATGATTGATGCTTAGCAGCTGTCTATGATATCATATGAATCGTGAATAATAATCAACTTAAAAAACAAATTTTCAAACAAAAAAATCATCAAAATATATAAATCGAATGTGTTAAAGATGACATTACTAACAATATTTAAAAATATATATATAACTCTTCCATGAACTACATGTATGGAAACTGAGAAATATATTGTCTTATATTCGCCTTGTACGCCCCCACTTGATCCTGGAATACTCTTGATGCCCATGAATACAGTGATAAATCACTTTGCAAAAAATTTCTCCTAAGATAGCTTTTCAATTCCTTTAAAGTTGAATTTTCATGCAAAAATTCATACAGAAGTTTGTCAATGTCTATGTACATTTGAAGTTCACTTACATGTTAATCATCTCATTGTCTGCCACAAAAATTATTCATGACAGTACATATAGCAGCTTGAGTATGCTTGTAATCTGCAAAAATATGTACATATATCTTATAAGTTAAATTAATAAAAAAAAAAAGGCTACTTGTTGAAACACTGACAGCTTGTTAAAGAAATAATGCAAAAAAGTGACTCAGATTTTCTATTTCATGTATCTCTGGCCATATTTTTGTTGATATATATTGGGTTTTTTCAACAAAGGATACTTCAGGGTAAAAATGTTGAAAATGACAATTCAACATTGAAGTTTTTTAAGAAAATACAATTTTATACAGTTTAATGTTTATGAGAAACTAGCTAATTAAATTCTCGTCAGTTGAAAATTATGATCACTACTCCTCAATGTTTATAATGGTACACTTAAGTTATATTGTATTAAGATAAAAAAAGTACATATAACTCTATATAAGAGCAATACGTGATTGACATCTATTTTATATTTTTCCCGGAAACAAGTAATTTCCATATTATTATTTCTTATTCCTTTTACTCCTTATTATTTCCTTATGAGATAATTAGAGGGAACATACTAAAGACCTGACCTACTAAAGACCTGACTGACCTGACCAACGTAAAATTCTCCAAAAATTAATATTCTGAGTTTTTTTTTCAACTTTTTCATGATATTTTCTTAATCATAAGGTGTAATTCAATTGAATAAAGGTTTATTCAATCATTTTTACCAAATTTATTGTCATTTATCAATTCATTTCATGAAAATTTAATGACCTGACCAAATTTGAAATGACCTGACCAATGATAATCATTCATAATTGTTATCTTTTTAAAAATATTTGATACATTTTTAACATATATTCTCTATTATAGTGATGGATAGTTTAGATAAAAATGTTTTTAAAAACATTTTTACCAAATATTTAGTCATTTATCCATTCATTTCATGATAATTTAATGACCTGACCAAATTTGAGATGACCTGACCAAATGATAATCATTATTAATCTATCTTTTTAAAAATATTTGATACATTTTTAAAAAATGTTCTCTATCATAATTATTGATACTTAGATAAAATGTTTTTAGAAATATTTATACCAAATATTTAGTCATTTATCCATTTATTTCATGATAATTTATTGACCTGACCAAATATGGAATGACCTGACAAAATAATAATCATTCATACATGTAATTGTAATCTTCTTAAAAATATTTGATACATCTTTAAAACATATTATCTATTATAATGATTAAAACTTAAGATAAAAATTTTTTAGAAACATTTTTACCAAATGTTTATAACTTGTCCTGACCAGTGTAAAGACCTGACCAATCTGACATGAATATATAAAGACCTGACTAATGTAACAAACTAAAGACCTGACCGAAATGGGAAGTATATATAATTACAACTGTATAGATTGTTATGAATTCTAATTTAAACTAAGAGAGTTGTTCAGAAAGTTTGCGGAATTTAACATAGCATCATAAGGTTCTAAAAATTACTCTTTCTATACATTTCACACTGTATGAATAACAGTGCACTCATTAAAAACATTTCTCTATCACTTAAAATTTATTTTGCTACGAAAACTAGGGATTCATCTCCCCATAACTATTGATGCCAATTTACATTACTCGTTATTAGCAGTGCATGCATTCGTCATAAAACATCTATCTTCAAAAATAATTTCTGCATACAAGGATAAAAGTTATGATTATCCTCAGTCTTTATATTCACAAGACTCGTTCTTCTTATAAGGTTTTAAACAATTAAGTTTATTTAATTTCATTAACTCGAATTTTAATCAGTAGTGGAGTATATAGATGATATAGTCCACTAGTTATATACAAGCTCCCTTGAAGGGATATAAGTAGGTAATTGTTGAACAAACAATGGGTGACCAGTATCCCTCTTGACACTTCTATCACAATAAATTAGCAGAGTAATTAAGCGGATCAACAATTATCCATTTCACTATTTGATATACAGTTTATAGATTTGATTTAAAGAAGCATTCTTTTAATTAATTTGATAATTTTTCACACTCCTTCATTAAAAGTAACTAATTTGTAAATACGTATACACTTTGCTGTATCCAAAATTGATTAAAAAAAATAAATAAAATAAAAAAAAAAGTACCCAAACAGGTCGAAATGATATTACAAGCACAAATTAAATATTATTAAAATGATTTGATTTCGAACATATTTTATTGTATATTACATGTACATACAAAAGGATTGGATACAAGTTTTTTCAACTTATTAAATAGATCCTCTCCTTGTTATACAAGCACAATGATTACTAGATCTATATATGCATGATTGTCATAACAAATAAATGAGATAATTTACAATTCATGTTATACATGCAAAAAACAAGATAATAAATATATTGGAAAGGTTAAATAAATACTGGTACCGTAGATATACATTATTTTAGAAGATACACGAAACTTTGATATTTCTAACTTTGTGCACTTCTGAATGTAATTTACATATAGAAGTGCACAAAATTAAGAATATCAAAGATAGTATATATTACATGTATCATTAATGAAGATTCCTTTTATGGTTATTTTTTCCTTATTTTTTCCGTTTATTTATTTATTTTATTTGGTCGGTCAACTCTATTTGTTTTACTTAATGTATTTATGTCTTTGAACAATGTAAGTTTATATGTATATATGGTCGGTCAGGTCTTTAATAGATATGATCAGTCAGGTCTTAAGTATAGATATGATGGTCAGTCAGGTTTTAGTATAGACATGGTCTGAGTCTGGTCATTGCAATTGCTGTCAGGTCATCTATATTTTATTTTATGCTTAAAAAATATAAGATAATATTTTTTTTTTAAATTTAAGTGCATACAATACTTTAAATTATAAGTGATGAAAAGTTGCTTATGTAAATTCAGCTTAGTTTCATCAGGTCAATTTGAAGCCAGCAAGTTAAACGTAATAAATTACAACTATATGGAAACGAAACGAAAAAAAAAAAAAACATGTATAAACTTGTCAAGTCGGAAACACTCAGAAGGGGAATTGTTGGTATCATACAGACTGTGTCATGGCCTTGACTCAAGTTCAAGGTCACTAAAAACAAGATGCTTTTACTGGATGTGTGGTCTGAAAGAACATGTGTGAACTTGTCAAGTCGGTAACACAGATAGGTTTTCGTCATAACCAGAGTGTGTCATGGCTTGACGCAAGGTCATCTGGACAAGTTCAAGGTCACGAAATAGAAAGTGTACATTATTTTATTGTCTTTCTACTGGCGACACATTGCAAGTTGATAGGTCCCTTACAAGATTATTTATCATCTTAGAATATGGCATGACCTTGACTCAAGGTCACTGCTCCAACGGAAGACCTATTCGTTGCTATGCAACGAGCTCGGCTTTTGTTAAAAATCATTTTTCTTTATTTTTTCTTAAGAACTAGCTGAGCCTTTATTTGCTATATGCCATATTTGCTAGTATAGTCCATTAGTTTTTTGGTTTTAATCATAAATTCTACTCATAAATTTCATTGACCAGCAAGTCTGCACCCAATGTAAATTTTTGTTTAACCGGTTTTCCTTCCATAAATACTGATGCAGGGACACATTCCTATCAGTACGGGGAATTTAACTCTTACAAATTTACAGCTGTCCGTTGTCACCACTTGAAAGGTAAATTTTTGTCTTTTAATTTTTTTGTAATTTATTTTAAGGACAGATGATACAATTTTTTTTTCTTTGGAGGAGACTTGATGTCATGTCTAAAAGTGTAATATAAACGTTTTAAAAATATACCAAGCCAGGTGAATTTATCAGGAAAAATCACATATTCTTATCATGTAAATATCGATTAATCGCAATAAATATGCAAAAAAGTAACCAACTCTAAATTCCATTAAATTTTACCGTTACCTCTTAATCTAACAGTACATTAAGAATTAGATAATATATGATAATTTTCAAAATCAGGTTTTAATTCCATAATACCCGTATTTAACAGTGTCCTTTATTTTTATTTACTTACCCAATGGATGTGTTCGAACAAATTCCCGTTTTCCCCCCTAAAAGTGGATTTAGAACATTTAAGAGATCAAATAGTATTCCATTATCTGCAGTATAAAGAATGAAAACTGAACTAATGAAAATCAATGTATTTTAACGTATGCAATCCAAAACAGAAATTGCAACGTAAAAGTACAGGAAGTTGCGTTTCGATCAACTTGATATCCAATGAAAACTTTCTGTCAAACTTGTAAACTAGATTTTTATAGTAAGAAGGAGAGTCGGTGAAAGCATAAAATTTCGAAACACTTTCCCTCAATATTGTTTACCAGCGCTCTAATTAGGAACATACTAAAGACCTGACCTACAAAAGACCTGACTGACCTGACCAACGTAAAATTCTCCAAAAATCAATATTCTGAGTTTTTATATCAATTTTTTCATCATAATTTCTTAAACATAAGGTGCAATTCAATTGAATAAAGGTTTATTCTATCATTTCTACCAAATTTATTATCATTTATCAATTCATTTCATAAAAATTTAATGACCAGTGACCAAATTTGAGATGACCTGACTAAATGATAATCATTCATAATTATTATCTTTTTAAAAATATTTGATACATTTTTCAAATTTGTTCTCTATTATAATGATTGATAGTTTAGATAAAATGTTTTTAGAAACATTTATACCAAATATTATTTGGTAAAAATGTTTTTAAAAACATTTTATCTAAACTATCAATCACTATAATAGAGAATATATGTTAAAAATGTATCAAATATTTAAGAAAATATCATGAAAAAGTTGATAAAAAAACTCAGAATATTAATTTTTGGAGAATTTTACGTTGGTCAGGTCAGTCAGGTCTTTAGTAGGTCAGGTCTTTAGTATGTTCCCTCTAATTATCTCATAAGGAAATAATAAGGAGTAAAAGGAATAAGAAATAATAATATGGAAATTACTTGTTTCCGGGAAAAATATAAAATAGATGTCAATCACGTATTGCTCTTATATAGAGTTATATGTACTTTTTTTATCTTAATACAATATAACTTAAGTGTACCATTATAAACATTGAGGAGTAGTGATCATAATTTTCAACTGACGAGAATTTAATTAGCTAGTTTCTCATAAACATTAAACTGTATAAAATTGTATTTTCTTAAAAAACTTCAATGTTGAATTGTCATTTTCAACATTTTTACCCTGAAGTATCCTTTGTTGAAAAAAACCCAATATATATCAACAAAAATATGGCCAGAGATACATGAAATAGAAAATCTGAGTCACTTTTTTGCATTATTTCTTTAACAAGCTGTCAGTGTTTAAACAAGTAGCCTTTTTTTTTTATTAAATAAACTTATAAGATATATGTACATATTTTTGCAGATTACAAGCATACTCAAGCTGCTATATGTACTGTCATGAATAATTTTTGTGGCAGACAATGAGATGATTAACATGTAAGTGAACTTCAAATGTACATAGACATTGACAAACTTCTGTATGAATTTTTGCATGAAAATTCAACTTTAAAGGAATTGAAAAGCTATCTTAGGAGAAATTTTTTGCAAAGTGATTTATCACTGTATTCATGGGCATCAAGAGTATTCCAGGATCAAGTGGGGGCGTACAAGGCGAATATAAGACAATATATTTCTCAGTTTCCATACATGTAGTTCATGGAAGAGTTATATATATTTTTTTAAATATTGTTAGTAATGTCATCTTTAACACATTCGATTTATATATTTTGATGATTTTTTTGTTTGAAAATTTGTTTTTTAAGTTGATTATTATTCACGATTCATATGATATCATAGACAGCTGCTAAGCATCAATCATAACTAAGCACTTAAAATAACATAAAGCATAATAATAGCTTTTTATTTTCATTGGTTCAAGAAGAAAGGATTTACTATTCTATCAATCTGACTTAAATAAGATTTTTCATTTGCTTCGAAATTCTAATAGCAAAGAATTTTGGAGGGACTCTGGTTTTAATCACAATTTCAATATCATACAATGAAACTGAAGCGAAATATGCCACATACCCTTAAGAGATCTCCCATTAAACATCTGGATACTCATCATTTATAGTGATATAAACTCAAACTCTGCATATACATTGGACTCTGCAGATCTTTTGAATGTAGGCTAATTGTCTTAATGGCACTGCATTTTTGATTACTCAAAAGTTTTATTTCATCATTTTATTGACTCATTTCAGAGGGTCATTACATGTGCCAAACACTACAAACATTAATGAATTTATAAACATAAAATTTACTGACTTTCTATTGTTAATATAATAATTATTAATGAAAGATAGTTTTTGTATGAAATTAAAGCGTCGGCTTTTTTCATTTTTTTTTTTTTTTTGGTATTTTATTCGACTTATGTGAGAGTGTTATATAAATGACCACTAAATATCAAAATATCGAAGGTAAAAGTAGTCTTCTCTGACATTATAAAATTGCTTTTAAAAAAGCTAGGTAAAATAAATACAGATTTTAAGAAAAAAATTGATAAAGAGCCAGAAATATAATTTACTTTTTTTTTTAAAATTAATAATCTGTGTAAGATTTGCGAACGTATGTAACAAAATGCATTCATATTTATACTTTAAATAATATTTATTCTATTCTCTTTTTGCATTTCATTAAAATATATACCATGAACTAAGAACAAAATCTTCAATAATTCTCAAAGTATATACGTATATTTGTGTATGAGTGATATCTACAATTTTTTGAAATAAAGCCA